ATACCAACATGTTTCAAGCAGACCACCATAGTCCCTGTGCCCAAGAACACTAAGATAACCTGCCTAAACCTGGGCTCCCGAGTGGCGCAGCATTCTAAGGGACTGTATCTCATTGCTTGAGGCATCACTACAGACCCCCTGGTTCGATTCCAGACTGTATCACAACCGGCCGTGATTGGGAGTCCCATAGGGCGGTGAACAATTGGCCCAGTGTCGTCCGGGTTTGGCCGTGTAGGCCATCATTGTAAATAAGAATTTGTTCTTAACTGACTTGTTAGTTAAATAAAGGTAAAAATAAATAAAATAAAATGACTACCAACCCGTAGAACTCACGTCTGTAGCCATGAAGTGCTTTGAAAGGCTGGTCATGGCTCACATCAACACCATTATCCCAGAAACCTTAGACCCACTCCAATTTGTATACCGCCCCAACAGATCCACAGATGATGCAATCTCTATTGCACTCCACACTGCCCTTTCCCACCTGGACAAGAGGAACACCTACGTGAGAATGCTATTAGTTGACTACAGCTCAGCGTTCAACACCGTAGTGCCCTCAAATCTCATCACTAAGCTAAGGACCCTGGGACTAAACACCTCCCTATGCAACTGGATCCTTTACTTCCTGATGGGCCGCCCCCAGGTGGTAAGGGTAGGTAACAACACATTTGCCACACTGATCCTCAACATTGGGGCCCCTCAGGGGTGCGTGCTCAGTCCCCTCCTGTACTCCCTGTTCACCCATGACTGCATGGCCAAGCACGATTCCAACACCATCATTAAGTTTGCCGACGACTCAACAGTGGTAGGCCTGATCAACGATGAGACAGCCTATAGGGAGTTTTCAGAGACCTGGCCGTGTGGTTCCAGGATAACAACCTCTCCCTCAACGTGATAAAGACAAAGGAGATGATTGTGGACTACAGGAAAAAGAAGAGGACTGAGCACGCCCACATTCTCATCAACATGGCTGTAGTGGTACAGGTTGAGAGCTTCATGTTCCTTGGTGTCCACATCACCAACAAACTATCATGGTCCAAACAAACCAAGACAGTCGTGAAGAGGGCACGACAAAGCCTATTTCCCCTCAGGATTTGGCATGGTTCCTCAGATCCTCAAAAGGTTATACAGCTGCACCATCGAGAGCGTCCTGACTGGTTGCATCACCGCCTGGTATGGCAACTGCTCGGCCTCCGACCTCAAGGCACTACAGAGGGTAGTGCATACGGCCCAGTATATCACTGGGGCCAAGCTTCCTGCCATCCAGGACCTCTATACCAGGTGGTGTCAGAGGAAGGCCCTAAAAATTATCAAAGACTCCAGCCACCCTAGTCATAGACTGTTCTCTCTGCTACCGCACAGCAAGCTGTACCGGAGCGCCAAGTTTAGGTCCAAAAGGCTTCTTAACATCTTCTACCCCCAAGCCATAAGTCTCCTGAACAGCTAATCATGGCTACCCGGACTATTTGCATTGCCCCGCCACCCCACCCCAACCCCCTCTTTTACGTTGCTGCTATTCTGTTTATTATTTATGCATAGTCACTTTAACTCTACCCACATGTACATATTACCTCAATTACCTTGACTAACCGGTGCCCCCACACATTGACTGTACCGGTACCCCTGTATATAGCCTCCCTACTGTTATTTTATTTTACTGCCGCTCTTTAATTATTTGCTATTTTTATTTTTTACTTATCTATTTTTTACTTAACACTTTTTTTTCTTTTCTTAAAAACTGCATTGTTGATTAAGGGCTTGTAAGTAAGCATTTCACTGTAATGTCTACACCTGTTGTATTCGGCGAATGTGGCAAATCAAATTGTATTTTACTTGAACAAAATGTGGAAAAAGGGAAGGGGTCTGCATACTTCCCGAATGCACTGTATCTGAAACTATGACTCGAGGGAGCCTCATAAATTAAATGTATTTCCAATCTATGTTCTTGAAATTGAATAAGCAATTTGGCCGGGTGAATTAACGACTTAGGTGTGTTGGCATTGTTTTCCAGGGGGGAAAAAATCCAAAATAAATATTAAAATGGGAATCAATATGATTGAAAGCAGCTTATGCTGCAGGACCTTGTTGTTGTCTCCATTGAGCAGGTGGTTCGTGGTGGCGACTCCTTTCTACGGCTACAACACAAAGTGCAACACAGTCTCTGTGTAATCTGTAATAATGAATGTGTTTAAAGCCAAGACTTTCTCTTTTGTCAGGGGAGCAGAGGTAAACTCTTTAACCACATGCCATGAGGTTCTCTCTCCTTCTCCCTCCCTTCCACTTTCTCTCTCTCTCCCTTGCACCATTCTACCATTTATTTTGAAGGTAAATTCCTTCCAAAATTCTGTAGCAACATGTTTTTAAACTAAAATCAGCCATACTGTTGTGACTACACTGAATGTGTTAAAAGAAGATCAGAGTTTATATATTTTTCATCATCATCATCACCAAAAAAAAGAAGAGAAAAGCAGAAAAAATAGAGAGATTCTACCAAAACTGGCTTATAAGCAGGGCTGTCAGTTCTATCACAATTTTCTAGGATTGTATTAGCAGTGCAATAATTAACTTTCTTTTTTTTTTTTTAGGGTAGTTTTGCTTTTAAGCACACTACAATGTATAACAGGTACATCTTCAGAGGTCTGCTTTAGAGCTTAGGTCCAAAGCTCACCAATATGTCCTTTATGTATGATTTCCATTTCTAAGGGTGGATTTCATCTTTAACCTCTACTTAGAGTTATGGGCTACCTCAATTCACTCATATAGCCCATACTATAGCAGGTAAAATAATCCAGAGGATTTGTGGTGTATGCATTGTGTAGAGGACGTGTGCTATATCCAAGAGCACAAATCTTTTGACTGTGCTCTCTTGAAAACTAAAATAAGAAACATCCCTCCCCAACCTTCCTCTAGCAATTCAAAGACACCCTTCTTTGCTTTTTATAATACACATATCAAAAGATGTGTAGCCTACAGACAAACTTAGTCCAATAATAAATGAGGATGTTGGACGGATGTATTTTCATATGGATACACATTTAGAATTGAATCTGTTCAAATCAAAGAATGTAATGATTCTAAAATGTGTTTTTCCCCTTCCATTTCATTTTTTCTCTTTCTTTTTGCTGGATATGACATGAGCGGTGACGCTTCTGATCTCTCTTCGGCTCATTAAATGTAATGCTGATGGCCAGCTCTATGGAACAGTGCCTCCTAACTAAAGTTAATTACTCGCACTCGCAGGTATAGGTCTTTTTCAAATTGCACACTTCCGTTTGGGGGTTTTCAACGTCCGTCGTCTAAAGATACTTTGTCTAGCCTTGTCCTTTATAATGTGAAATGTGAGGGTATAAAACAACTGTTTAAAGCTCTCTTCCTACAGATAGGCTATCCAGTTTAATGCACTAATGGCGTAAGTAGGCCTACGGTCTAACTTGCTAAAATTCTCAGTTGAACATTATGCTATGGATTTCAAAATGTAGACTATGGATTGCTTGTTGGTCAATTGTAAATAATAATAACAATAATAATAGCCTAAAAATAAGCCTAATAAACAATAATAAACAATGGTAATATAATAGGGTTGTGCTGTCAGGGGGTGCTGAGGAAATATTTTGTCGATGAGTATTTTTCTCTGCTCATACAGGAGTAATATTGTACTAATTCTGGGGAAATTATTTTTTATATTTTTTATATTAATACATGTTTTATTGTGATTAACATGGGGGTGCTGCAGCACCCTCAGCACCCCTACTTCCCGATGCTATGCCTATGTGGTTATAGTGCCCCATCAAATACAAAATCCCTCCCCTCATCCATTCATTCATTCCAATTATGGTAGCATTTTTATTTTTTTTATTTTTTTTTACAGTATTGTACTGTGCCCTTACGTAGTACTTACTTTGATACTGTATTTATATTACAGTAGGTGTACTGTAATATGAAATACCGAATTTTAGCTGCCTGTAAACTACTGTCAAATTCACAATAACACCTTTACAGAGTAGGCCTGTCCAATTTGTAATTCGCTCTGGATAAGAGCGTCTGCTAAATGACGAAAATGTAAAATGTAAATATAGGCTATATCAAAATAATCATCTATTATTATTTTTTTCTACCAAACATAAAAAATAACTCTACTAATCTCCAAATAATATGAATAAAATGTATAGGTCTATCAGTCTATATTAGGTTTTATTCGCCACAGCCCTGCATGCTTTAACCTCTCGGTTCACGTTTGTTTAATAAGGCACCCACGCGGCTCCTATTTGAAAACATAGCGATTGGTTGGCTATATAAAGCAGCTACCGGCTCTGTCGCAGTGTGGTCCGCGTATTGAATGACTTGGTTGGGTATTTCCCGCTTCCGCTGGAGCGGAATCAATGTATATTGAAGGGTTTATTATCGAGATCTGATTTTCGTGGCATCAATCTCCGATCCGATGCTGACTGTGGAGGGTTGCGATATTAATAATAATAATATGCCATTTAGCAGACGCTTTTATCCAAAGCGACTTACAATCATGCGTGCATACATTTTATGTGTATGGGTGGTCGCGAGGATCGAACCCACTACCTTGGCGTTACAAGCGCCGTGCTCTACCAGCTGAGCTACAGAGGACCACGTATTGAATTGCACGTTTGAGACCACCTTTGAGATGAACGGAACCTGCATGTACGTGCCCTTTCACCCAAATCTAGTAATGTAATGCGTGCAGCAGAACTGGCAAAACCTCTTTATTTTCACACAAGTTCTAGTTCCAATAGGCAGCATGTGTCTAAACCGATATATGTCTGATATAAATTAATCTTCGCACACAAGTAGACTTTCGTGCTTCTATTGGGCAATATTACACATACGCCTATTATTTTTGTTATCTGTTGGGTTTATAACGAATGTATTCACTGGTCAGAGTTGTGTAATGGTGACTGTAAAATAGGTAAGCCTACCATAATTCTCCCCTCACCCACAAAGACATGGTTTTTAGATACAAATGGTTTCTATTGGCCTATAAAATAGTGGGAATATAGTGAAGTTTTCGCATACCTGTTGATGGATGACACACTGGGAACGGTGTCGTTGTCGCAGACGGCCTCCGACAGAAGTCGGTCTCTAATCTCCCAAGCGAACATGGTGGGGTTCTGACGCTTGTAATCTGTGATTTTATCCACTACTTTAGGAGTCGCCACCTTTGGTTTGGAGCCCCCAATAACTCCGGGTTTAATACTGCCGGTTTCGTAGTACCTGTAGGGACAACATATGAATTGGCTTGAATGATAAGGAAAAATACTAAAGCTGAGTATTGCTGAAGGACTTTTATCTGAAATATCTTAGTTGGAGTTTCATGTATTGGACAAAATGTTCCTGTTTTAAAGACGATATTAAAGCATTAACTGTGCTTGAAGGATAGTCTGAGTAGACTACGATTGAGATTCAGCATACTAAAATATAAAGAAAACTGAAGCCTGTAAAAAAATGATATAATATGGAAGGCGAATAAACTATTTCAAAATCAAATAATGTTATCATACTTTCATCATCCACTTTATTAAATGATCAGACAAGAAATAAATGTATGTGTATTCAATTTAAACATAACATCAGTTAAATCCAGAAATGTAGTTTGAATATAATTTACTAACCCCATATTAAGCACGAACTGAAGTCGCATGCACGGAACAGAAATGCCACCAGTATTCAAAATTGTTATGTTTTTGGAGACCAACATTCCAAGTGCAAGGCATTAAATACCTCAATAAAAATGTTCAAGATTTATCTCTCTAAATTTTGGTTTTCAAAGTGAAAACATGAGTTTGATTCCAGAATATGAGAACCCAAACGCTCTCCAGATCTAGGCCAGTACCACTGATATAACTATTGCCTTGTCTGAGGCCCATTTTATAAATTAAGGTATTCATCAAAGCCATTGGGGGTGATTGATTCCAAATCGTCGACACAGATTCAAGCAAATTCAAGCAAATGGCCCCATTGCCGATGACTCTGGCTAAAATAAGTGCTGTGCACACATATTTCAAGATATTTATGTGTGACACCAATTTAATTGTGCAATTCTGTTTCCCTTACCTGCCGAGAATTTTGCTAACGCAGCCGTGACTGACCCGTAGTTGGCGGGAGATGTCACATGGCCTGACACCTTGGTGCGCCAACTCGACAATTCTCTGCCTCACTACATCAGGTAGGGGTCTGCCATTCACAAACACCCCGCCTAGCTGGTTCACACCCCCATGCCCTATATGGGATACAACAACATACCGAGGGAAACATAACATTACATACAAACAGAAGACACGATGCATCGTGAAACACGACAGCACTTCGAGCAACATGACAGCACTTCGAGCAATTACACTAAGATCTCTTTCTAGTTCAGTTTGAAAACACACACATTCATAAAGTAGCTTTCACACACACACACACACACACACACACACACACACACACACACACACACACACACACACACACACACACACAAACACAATACATATGTTTGTACTTTTTTGTTTCCTAACAGATGATTAGCCTAATAAACAGTGGTAGTAGCATATTGCAGATTAGGAGCAGGGACTATAATACACTGTAATACTGTTCTATAATTTCAACAGTAAAACACTGTAGAATGCACAGTAAAATACCTTACGTGTTTTACAGAAATAATGCAGTAGATTGCACTGCATTATGGGTAAAATAATGAAAATTCCTGTTATTAACTGTAATTGGAATTAATGTGTATAGGGGATGGATTGGAGTGACAGTAAGCCTAAAACCTTTAATGGTTGAGTATTTGCCATGTCCTTGGTCTGTTTTGCTCTGTAGCCACTGCAAGTTTTACAGCCTTTGTTAAGACCTCTAGAAGTGCAAGTGATTAATACATATTTGGTATACATATTTGATATACTATAATATGAAAATACTTTGCCTAGCAGCCAATGTACTTGCACCAATCCCATGCAATTACTGTAAAATACAAACCATGCCTACCCTCAATTAATTTAATTAATCCATTAATTTATTAATTCATTACAATTACCGTAAAAAATATTACAAAACCAACAAATTAAAGGACAACGTGTTCAAATGCCTCTAAGCATAATGAAGCCTACACTGTAAAACTGTTCCCTGTAAATGTACAGCATTATACTGGCAGCAGAGGAAACTACTGTAATTAAATAATACAGCTGTCTTGCTGTAATGATTACAGCAGGATAATTTACATTATATATATATATATATATATATATATAATACAGCATTGCTTTTCTTATTGCTGTAGAGCAAAATTGCATTATTAACCTGGAAACGCTGATGCCAGTATAATCCTATACATTTACAGGGAAAAGTTTTACAGTGTAGGCTTCATTGTGCTTAGAAGCATTTAAACATGTTGTCCTTTAATTTGTTGGTTTTTAAATCATCTAATGTTCCATGACACAAAGCTATGATGTTTTGTTTGTAGTGAATTGGATAGCCCAAAACTCTCTTGGATAGTCTATATAACTCTGCCTCAACACCAAATACCTTCACCGTGTATTACAATATTTCCCAATAGTAACAGTTCCATTGCAGCCTAAAACATGTTGCAGATATTATGTTTCAAGCTGTTTAAATTTAATTGCAAAATTATTCTAAATAATTAAAAAGAGCTTTGATAACTGATATTACAAACATAGGGATAGCTGGTCCAATCATGATGAATTAATAATTTAGGCTACATTTGGCCCAAAACTCTCTTGGATAGCCTATACAACTCTGCCTCGACACCGAATACCTTCACCGTGTATTGCGATATTTCCCAATAGTGACCGTTCCATTGCAGCCAAAACATGTTGCAGATATTATGTTTCAAGCTGTTTAAATTTAATTGCACAATTATTCTAAATAATTAAAAAGAGCTTTGATAACTGATATTACAAACATAGGGATAGCTGGTCCAATCATGATGAATTAATAATTTAGGCTACATTTGGTGCGGTCTCTCGTAGCCTTTACTCTAATCGTAGGCTAATACAGTGTAAGGAAAATACTTATTTTCACAACCGAACGATGTTGCTTTAAAATAAATCTAAAGGCATATCCTAGATTTATGACGGTTATTTCACGTAAGGGAAATTAAAATATTGTTAGACAATGTTAGACTCAAATCCCCCCCAAAATTAAAGGGTCATCTTTGGTTTCTGCAGTTGAAGGGTTTCATTCCAAAACGCTGTAAATCCATTTTCAGAAATGTTGGTAAATTAGCTTTTATTGTTTAAAGGCATTATCAAAGATATTGGTGTGTTTTTTCACTATGTAATCGTGCCATCTTAATGGTTTTATTTCAGAGATAAAAAATAATATTTTTTGTGCAAAATGCTATATATCCGCCTCATTCTCTGAGAAATAAGTAGTACTGCTAGGGTTTTACACAGTCAAATGTAGCGAATAACTACATTTTTAATAAAGAAATGTACAAATGATACATTTGTGACATCAATATATAAAATATATTTAAACCAAATAATTAAATACAGTAAAATTAGATCTGTATGTAAAACATTTACATTTGGCATTTTAGTCATTTAGCAGATGCTGTTATCCAGAGCGACTTACAGTAAATGCATTTTAAAGATAGCTAGGTGAGACAACCACATATCACAGTCAAATATACAGGATACTCCATTCCAGCTAAATAATGGATATATAGCGTTTTGCAACAACAACAAAAATCATTTTCATACACATCTCAAATCTATGAAAATAAAATGTGTGAACAGTAATATTTTAGACACACATGAAGGTACCCATAAGCAATCATTCCTGATGAAAAAACACAAATGTGAAAAATCGGTTGATATAGCGTTTTGGAAATAAACTCTTAATTTATTTCACATGTGCTATTTATTTCAAAGGCAATACAAATGATTTCTATTCAATGTAGGCTATGGAAGATGCAATGATGCCTTCATTCCCCACCTATTCAGGAGCGCTCATTTCAACTGACCTCTAGCTTTTAGTCAGTAAACTGTATCCTATTCAGAATCCAATGCCGATATGACATAATAAGAACACTTTTCAGGTAATTCTAAAATACAAAATATGTACAATTTGAAATTACACCGTTTACAGTGATGAAATCTGCAGGGAAACTTTATGAGGGCTAAACTGGATTTTCTAACACTGCTTATGTTAATGTTCTCAATATGCTGTTATTCGTTTATAGCCTTGGTTGTTTGAACGCACATCTTCAATTACGAGAAATATATACAGTACTTCCTGTGCCCATAGCGAAGCTAAAACCATATAGGCTACAAATAGACTAATAATGGGCAATGTTTTAATTAGCAAATGCTTACTGAGAATTCAAACTTTATGGATGCGTTTAAATACAGTAAGTAATGCGTCATCTAACGAGATTATTTTGATTAAACGAATTCTCTACTCACGGTGCATCGCCAAGAAGGGGTCTGTTTTGCAGTGAATATCCATTGGATAGCAAAGAAAAGAAAGGTAGTCGACTGAATTCGCCGTTTTGCCTTGGTGATGTAGCTTAGTATGCGTAAAAAAGAGAGATTGCTAATCGGTGACAAACAGTCTGCTTCCGCGGCCAGTAGCTCGCAAGATAACTTATTGAAAAAAGAAACCCCGTGGCAAAGTTGTGGCTCCTGCTTAACTCAGTCTGTTCAGTGGATACCGATGGGATGTCAGGTGAAGAGCATGACCCACGTTTGCACCGAGAACACAAAACAAAGCGACATTCGGCAAACTGGGGTCACTCTTAGACGTTGTTAAACCACATTATGAGGAAAATAAGGGCCGAAAAGTCAACCGAGTCTCCCACCGTCCAGTCACGACACTGCGGTAGAAAATCCCTCTCCCTGTCAGTGGCAGGGACTGGTGGGTCTCGGGTTTAATAATCAGATAGGGGCGGTCGGAGATGACAGCAGGGGCAACAAGGACACGCTGAGAGTGGCTCTCTCTCTGTCCCCCTCTCTTTGACTGTGCCTAAACGAAGCTTTCGGCTGAGAATGAAGCCCTTCTCCTTGTGTGTCTGTTTCTAAAAGCTGTAGTCCTACCAATCCCCCATCTCTCCCGCTCCCTGCCACCTCTCTCACTCCATCACAGATCCTCTCGCATGGATGACTTGTCAGACTATGGCAATAGATTCCAACACGATGTGATTCGCCAACGCAAAAAAAAAACCTGGAGAACAAATGAGAAGATCCCTGCACAGTTCAGAATGGAGGGAGACTAACAGGGAAATTATGAGAGTATGAGGTGAGGAAACCGAGGACATTTAAGAAAAGAAGTGAAGCAGTGGCATACACCTCTTATTGTTAACAATCTTCCACAAAGTGTTTTCCCTTTACATTTGAAAGACACTAACTCTCCAGATTGTCAGAGCTATAAATGGGGACTTAGTAATAGTTTCCATCTAATAACAATTACTTGTTGTGCATTTCTATACTGATAATTCACATAAAAGTATCATGAAGCGCAACCACCAGATTTTCTGTTATTTATAGTAAGCTTTGGTAATGATAATAAACCCTGTAGGGCCTAATATTCAAATCACCCCCTTTCATGCATGCCTTGGGGCTGTGAAAACGTTTTAGGGCTTGATTCAATCAGATCAGCTTTAGCTAACACAATGGTTGTTTTGATATGTCAGAGGTGGAAGGAAATGTGTTAGAGCTGTCAAATCTACAAGTGGCTCCAGGCATTATACCTAAAGCAACATTGCCATTGGTCCATTAAGACAAATTCCATGCAGCCTTTTTTTTTACAAGTTTGAACACTGGAATGTGAGATGTAATTTACAGCTCGATTAGGATGACAGAGATCCTCGTTATTTAGTTTTAATGATTTTTCAATTTGAGTGTAACTAAGCTAACATATGGAATTGTTTTAAGATGTTCATACCATGGAGCATTTAGCTGTTTGATTTTGAATTTTAAGACCCCTGTAGGTATCAAAAAAAATATGTAAAAATGATTTGATAAAATATTGGCCTTTATTATCATCGCCCATAGAAACGCATTGAATAACACATTAATAAATGGCAAAACAGACAGTAAAAAAATAAATCATAAGGAATAAGGTTTTGATGTATCTTTCCTATATCTAGGATACATTTTTTTGTTTGTTTTTTTTGGCACAAAACTACCTCCATACTTCCATTCATTTTTTTACACCAGGACCTGGTTACCTTCAGACGAGTCCTGTGACACTTGTGGGTGTTCGTGAGAGT